TTTTCCCTTGAAAACTTAATTTATATTTATTTATACACGTTTATTTTGTTTCTCTTGAAAAACTATAAGGTCTATAAGGGCAGAGAATGGTTTTTTTTTTTTGTCTTGGTATCTCCACTGCATGCATAATGACTGTCACACATTAGGCACTTAAAAATTCCTGATATTTGGGGAGCTTAAAAACTAGTGCACTGAAATGGAGCTTGGGCCCAATGACTTTTTTTTTTTTTTTGCTAGGCAATGGCGTTAAGTGACTTGCCCAGGGTAACATGGCTAGTAAGTGTTATGTGTCTGAGGCCGGATTTGAACTCAGGTCCTCCTGAATCCAGGGCTGGTGCTCTATCCACTGCACCACCTAGCTACCCCCAATGACTTTTAAGAGGTCCTTTTCAGGCTTCTTTTCTTTGAGTCTTCGAAAGATGAGTGCTACAAAAAGCCTGGAAAGTACAAATGATTTCTGAATATGCCTATATGCTAATATGTAATCTTGTATGGTTGATTTCTTAAATTAGTCAACTATGTAGGATATATGTCAAACTACCACTTTATCATTGTCAAATAATACCACCAGATGTTATAATAGCTAAAAAGAAAAACTAAAATCATATCTTCTTTGGAGATTCCTGATTCTTCTATAGTAGGATCATTCATTCTTACCTTTTACCACAAACTTGTTTTCTACATGAATGTCTATCTCAAAGTAGAGAAAAGATTAGGGCATCATTACCTATGATTCTATGCATAACCTCTTTTGTAGTCAATTCAAACAACAGTGAAAACAAATTATGTTTTTAAGGAATCCAATATATTGAGACATTCATAAACATTAGCAGTAGAAAATAAAGGCAACTCAGGTAACATGGAAACAGGTTGACAAAAATGGAAAAAAACACTTTATACATATTTGCATGGCATATCTATGTAACACCAAAATTATCTTTCTATAAAGCTTCATTCCTAATTAAGATTATTGTAGACTTAAAATATTCTTTAAAAAAAACACTCCTTAATAGAGGAATATTTGTTTAACCATTTGCTCACATATTAGATGGCTGAAAAGGTCATATTAATAACAGAAGCTAGCATTATTATTAATAATAATGGTTATCATTTTTGTAGTGTGTCCAGGTTTACAAAATGTTTTACAAATATTACGTTATTTGATCCTGACGACAACCCTGGGAGGTAGATCCTATTATTACTCCCATTTTACAGAAGAGGAACTGAAGGCAAACAGAGGTTAAGTGACTTGCCCAAGTCACACAGCTTATAAGTGATTGAGGTGAGATTTCAATTCAAGTCTTCCTGATTCCAAGCTCAGCAGTCCCACAATGTCATTTAGTTATCTCTATTATTATACCATATTCAATTATTATTATATTACTAATATAATATACACACATGTATTTAAAAATTTCCTTGACCTGAATATATTTATGCTGGGTATTTGGTATATGAAGATATGAAAATGTATTTAAACATTAAAATGCAGAAACCATGTATCAGATGAGATGTATATTATAAATGTAAATATGCCTTATTGCCATAGAAACTGTACACCAACCCACAAAAAAAGTTTGGCAAATGAATGTAGATAAAACTGTTTCATCATCGTTAGGATAACAGCATTGAGAACAAAATCTGGCACACTTTAAAATGAAATAAAATCAGGATGCTATACCTCAGCAAGCAAGATTTCCTTGTAAACCCAAAGTTCTCAAACCTTAACTTTTAAAAAACCAAATTATGAATAATCAATGTTATCAGCAGCAATCTTCAGTTCACAAGCTAATACAACCAAAGGTTTAGAGCTGTAGTCTGAGAGGCAAAGACATTTTTATTATGCTTAGTAATAGTTCTTTAAGGGAGTAGAGAAAGGTATAAAGGATGCTTTTTGTCAAAACATTCTTTGAAGTATCAGTGAGCGTTCTTGGCCATTGTAACTTCCCTAACTTTTTCTTGTCTGAGTCTTAGCTCATATTTAAAGAAGAAAATGGTACTTGTGTTTCTGATCAACGATTTATGTGATCTGTCACTCACTTCTGATTGAAGTTTTACATTTTTTTATATATATACATCATATATTATTCTGAAAGAATACTTGGGAACATGTAAATATCTAAAAATAAATGAATAATAGCATGCCCCCCCTCCCCCAGGGACACATCACCCTTTTTCTTAAAAGACAGAGAAAAGTCAAATAAGATGAAAAGAAATGTGCTAAGAATAAACCAGGCCTGAGATCAGACTTCAGGTCTAACAAAGACAAGTAAGCAGCAATTCATTTCTGCTGAGATGTAGCAGTACACTGTTACAAGTAGAAAGAACTTTAAAAATTTGTAGGATACTTTTTATTGCTGCTGCAACAAAAGCCAACCTTTTGAAGGTCTGTGAAAGTTTCACAAAGATTTGTGGCCACGTGGAATTTCAGTAAAAAATACAGTCACAAAATTTCAATTGCATAGCTGCTAAGAGTTTTACCACAGTCTTAATTAGTCTATAATTCAAACTCGTACAAAACTAGTTGAGAGTAGTATTGAAATATTTCTGCCCAGTTTCTAGTGGCAATTAATAAAGACCTATAGTTACATACAATGCTGTAACAATCTGAAGACTGAATGGCTTTTTATCTAATTTGATAATTTTCTTCACACAGTTTAATGCTTTGATTCAGGAGTTCAAAACACTCAAAATGGTTTAATTTAGTTTATTTTTAAATATTTCCAAGACAATATTAAATTAACAGGAGCAATTCAACCAAAACCCTGACTTAAACATGCTCCTCTTGCCACACATCAAACTATATGACATAAGCAGGAAGGAGATGACAATCTGCATCAACTTGTGGCTCAAATCTGTGGGAGTAACATTCTGCTATAACAGTAAGTTATGCTATAACTTCTTATCTATACAATTTTCTCTTTATACACACACATAATTTCATATAAATAAAAGTTCAAAACATTTGAGAAGTAAAACTGAATAATATGATTTTCAAAACTAGACCTGTTTGATAGACTCATCTCTTCTTAGCAATGGAAGGATCCAAGACAACTCCAAAGGACTCATGAGAAAAAATGCTGTCCACATCCACAAAAAGAACTATGGAGTTTGAATGCAGATCAAAGCATATTATTTGCTCTCTCTCTCTGTCTTTTCTTCTTCTTCTTCTTTTTTTTTTTTGTTTCTTATTTTTCATGGTTTCCCCCATTGGTTCCAATTCTTCTTTACAACACGACTAATGTGAAAATAGGCTGAATATGAATGTATAAGTAGAGCCTATATCAAATTGCCTGCCGTTTTGGGGTGGGGGAGGGGAGAGATATGGAGAAAATTTGGAACTCAGAATCTTATGGAAGTGAATGTTGAAAACTGAAAATAAATACAGAATAATAAAAAAATATAAAAAGAACTAGGCCTGTTAGTCACCTCACCAATGGTACTTTGTTAAAGTACAAACCTCATTGAGGGATCTAAGCACTGAATGAAAAATTATTATTTATTGAATGTTTACTATGTGCTAGCTGTTGGATGAAGTGCTGGGGATATAAATATAAAAAGTGAGATAGTTCCTCAAGGTTCTTATGTTCAAATAATAAAAAGGTAACACATATAGGGAATTGATAATTAGGGAAAAGAGTTTGATCTGTGAAGTCAGAGAGATATTAGCTGAGGGATGTTAACTGACATGCCCTTTGCAAATGACACTCTAGGCTTGGTTACTATGTTCAGAGCAAAAGATGGGAAGAGGAGGAGCTGGGGGTGGGAAAAGTGAGATGCATGTGATGGTGAGGAAGATGGCAAAATGGCCTGGATAGACAGCTGGAAGGCATATGAAGCATAATCTAGTCTGGTATGGAGCCAGTTAGGTATAGTAAGCTAGGCAAATCTGCATTCCCTCAAGCCGCTCAACCTCAAGGGTAGGAGATCCAAAGATGAGTAATAAAACAACAGATATAATTTATACTTTCAATATTATTTTCCATTGAGATTACTTAACATTATGGGATATATAAAGACAAATATACTTTTAAGTGACAGAAAAACGAATGAATAGTTTGAAAATAACAATATTCCAAATTGTCCCTGGATTTTATCTAGTAATCTACCATATAATAATTTAGAGTACTAGGGAATGTGTCTGAATATATAACTGATGCTCATAGACTAAAGCTTTTCATATTATAGCCTGGGAAAAGCAGCTCAAAGGGAAATAATTTGCCTGATATTTTAGCAGAGCTTCTATATCACCACAGATCAAAATCTGGAAATCCTGTTATAACAGTGTACATGGTTTCCAAACTTTCATTCAGTGATTAACACTGAAGCAGGATAATAAATGAATCCTTCAACGTGTAGCCAACACATTAAGGGGTTTATAAACAGTCTCTTTTGGAAGTTGCCCCAGGGCCTTAAAGGCATGCCCACAGAGCATACACTCTAGAAGGTCCTACTAAATAGAGAAGGGTATTCCCTATAGGCAGGGAGGTGCTTGAGAAGGGTTCATTGCAAAGGGGAGGGTTAGCAGCAGAGGTCTTTAGCACCAGAAAACATTCTGAAATGTTCATTCACTTTGCAGCACAGTCCTCAACAGATGGTAGAATATGTTGAGAAGAAACTGAAATCTTTAGTAAAATATGAATTCTTATGGAAAAGAGTGTATTACTAAGCAAAAACGGTTGTTCTAAGTATAAAGGAGTACTCACATATTTCCTATAAATCTATAGATTATTAATTTTTTTAATAACCAAAGAACTGTGCTCTTGAAACAACTTTACTAAGAGACTTTTCTTGTAGTTTCTGTACTTTTTATATCACCTAATCTACATTTAAACCATGAGTGAGTAGTTGCTGACATTTTATATTTCAAAATTCCATAGAATGTATAACAAATAGTATTAAATATTTATTCAAGTGCAAAATAAACAGTTTTTTCATTTCTTATGAGCAAATATATTAACCAAACATTTTATTGGAATGTTTTCATAGTGAAGTCTTACCTCAATGGTAGGTGGACTCTTTCTTGTTTTCCTAATCCAAGCTGCAAAGAAAAACAACACTGAAATGTATTACCCCATTTCGGGAGAAGAAAAAAACTGATTATTAAATTAATTACAATTGCAATGGAATGAGACTGGACTTCTTGAACCACATATAAAGTCAGTCTCATTCTTTGACAGTCACAGCTCACATAGTCTGAATTAACTTTAAGGTCCTATAGCACTAAAGTGAACCACAAGGCAAATTACATAATTGGACCAGAATTCTGCTTAGTTGGGTATTATTTAAATTCAGGGGGCTGGGTCTTAGAAATAATTTCCTTATAAAAATATTTATTGTAATTTCAATATTCCAAGGATCAATGATCTATTTGATGTGGGAATGATACCAATCTATTTCTTGACCTTTGTCCATCTCCTCTTGTCACACCTCCCAAAAGGGTACCCTCACTATGTTGGAGGAATCTTCCTCTAGATTTCTTGAGGTTATGTGGATACTGACAGCGAGCTGTTCATTTGCTTTCTCTTATTCTCTCTAAAGACCTGCCCGGCCTGTTTTTCCAGTTAAAAAGCTCTCTACTGGTATTCTTTAAATCTCCTCTACCCAGTTCTTCCTCAGTAATGTATTGTGGCCTCCTCATGCTTGCTCTGTGAATTCAATTAATTGTCCTTTGGTTGACCCACAACTTTAATTCTTTGGAGACTGTGATATTACATGACTCATAGCCATATAATATCTTGAGTGGAATAATGATGTTAAAAACATGGGCCTTTGTTTCAGGGAGAAGTTTGCGGTCATTATAAGCATCACATGATTTCCCCAAAACAGTAAAGCCTACTCTCTGCTTTCCATTCCATTCTAAGGCCAGTTCGTTGTCCATCTTTAATATCTATCCAGAAAAGACTTGCTTACTGATACAACTCTAGGCTGTACATCCAACTGCTTGTCACAGCTGACACTTCAGTAGGGTTTGTAATGTACTCAATTTAGATCTTCATTTAAAACTAAAGCGGGATATTTAAACACTTTTTGTGTGTGTCATGGCCCTCTCTGGCAGTCTGGTGAAACCTATAGACTCTTTAGAAGTTTAAAAAAAAAATCACAACAGAAGGAAATGTTAAGTTTCACTTAGAAGTGAGTGAAAATAAATATGCAATTTTTTCCCCATGCAAGTTCACAGACCCCCTGAAATCTATCCACAGATCATTTGGGGGATCCCAGGTTAAGAATCTACACTTTAAAGGAAGATAGTGTGTTGTTATAATATCTATTTCATAGATGAGGAAATAGAAGGATATATGAACTGCATATTGTGTCACACACCCAGTAAATATCAGAAGGATTTGAAACTAGGTCTGCCTAACTAACCTAAGTCTAATATATGCACATCCACCAGACATCAGAAATTCTTCATCTGCTGGTTTTTCCTGGTTGGAAAGGCTGAATTCTTTTGAAGGATCACTTACCTCAGAGTTGTGAAAATGAAATGAGATAGCATATTTGTAAAGCACTTTGCAAACTTTAAAGTGCTATATAAATGTTGACTATTCTTATTATTCTATTCACAATGTTCATGGGCTTGATATAATCAGAACAATGTCACCCACAAATAGTACCATCTATAAGGAATCACTCTTCTATTTGTACTCTGTGCTGGATCTTTTCTAGGACAGTAACAAACACCTTTGGTGAATATATATGATCCTGTTTTATGTTTTTCTTGATGTCTAGTAATCTTTGTTGTTATTCTTATTGTTGACTCTTCTATGATTTTAACATATGTATTGGGGACACCTTGTTGGAAACTGAAAAATCAAATGCTTTCTTATAGTCAACAACCAATAAGCACAGTAGGACCTTCTATTCTCTACTCATTTCAGTAAATTATGTAATTATAAGGATGTAGTCTGCCTGTTCCCTTATTATATCCTTCATCAAGTATATCTTTCACATGTGTATAGGTATAGAGGTCAGCAGCTGACATTTTCACAGTAGGCTTTTCTTTCTCAAATATAAAATATGATTTTTTCCCCTAAGCATTTGGTAAATGCTCCATCTTTCAGGTTTCGTGAGACTTGATCTATCAACGTCCTCAAGGTTAGCACAGTTCTTTTTACTATTATTGTTAAAATTTCATATATTACATATATTTTTTATACATGTATATAAATATATAAAATCATCTTTGCAGCAGGGTTTAATAACTATTAAAAACAAGGTTCTTTACAGAAGAGGAAATAATATTGTATCAAACTTTTCAAATGACTCTCTACACTTATAAGCTAAAGCTAGCTGTCTCATGGTGTTAATATTTCTTAGAAATAAAGCTACTTTTTTTTTTTTTTGGTGAGGCAATTGGGGTTAAGTGACTTGCCCAGAGTCACACAGATAGTAAGTGGTATGTGCCTGAGGCCGGATTTGAACTCAGGTCCTCCTGACTCCAGGGCCGGTGCTCTATCCATTGCCACCCAGCTGCCCCAATAAAGCTCCTTTTAGAAAAATTTAGCATACTATTCAGTTAAAAGGTTTTTACTTTTAATTTGTTTGGTTCATCCTTAGAACGATATTCCAATATTGTAGGTACTTTTGATTCTATCAGTGTCATTGCACTCTTCTCCATTACTATAGAATGCAAATGCTTCATACCTTGAGTTAATTTCATTACTTCAGTTACAGAATTTGAGCTAGAAGGGACCTCATTGGACATCTAGTCAAATCCAAACAAGGAAATATAACTTTGTCCACACTGTTCTTAAGTGATTGGTCACCAAGACTTTATTTGAAGATCTTTAGTCAAGGGAACCCACAACTTTTTTTTTTAATAAGCATTTGCAAAGCATCTACTACATGCCAGACACTGTGCTATGTCCTTTACAAATATTTTCTCATTTGATCCTCACAACGAGAGGTAGTATTATTATTATTATTACCCTCATTTTGAAGTTGAGGAAACTGAGGCAGACAGCGATTAATTGACTTGCTTAGGGTCACACAGCTAGTTGAGTGTCTGAGGCTAGAATTTGAACTCAAGCCTTCCTGTCTCCAGGCGCAGGTATCTAACCATTGTACCACCTTACTTCTTGACATAGCCTAAACCAACCCACTTTTTTTTAAAAAAGAGATTTAAAGTAGTTTTATTACAGGGGATAGGACTGCTATAGACTTCTCTCTCTGAGTACTAGGGACTAGAGCTGGCTAGGAGCTCAGAGTAAGTACCCGGAAGGCAGGGAAGGGAGATGAGTGTCAGACAAGGTAAATCCACCTCAATCCTTCTTGACTCCAGGGGCCTGGGTAAGATTAAACAACTTGACTGCACTGGAAAGTGAGAGTGTAGAAATAGTAGGCACCTCCAGCTTCACCTTATCTAGGATGGTTTTCTTTATGGCAGCTGGGGAGATCTTATCTTGGTCAGCCATGAACTGTAGCTCCCTGATCCAGATGCAGGAGGCCTCAACAGCATTCATGAGTAAAGATCGAAAACCACCACTTTCCAAGAAGTGCAAACCATGAATGGTGGCTCCCCCAGGGGAGCAAACATTGTCCTTGAGCTGTCCTGGATGCTGCTCTGAGTCCAGGAGCATCTTAGCAGCTCCCAGTAAGGCCTGTGCACCCCAGTGGACTGCCAGTCTCCTTGGCAGGTCCATCTTCACCCCACCATCTGCTAGTACATCCAAGGCCATAAAGGCATAGGCAGGGCCACTGCGGCTGAGTCCTGTGACAGCATCTATCAGGTCCTCTTCTGCTTCTATGCACAAGCCCACACTGCTTATTAGCTGTTCTAGGAGTTTCCCATCCTCCACCAGGGCATGGGTATCAGTGGCATATACTGTGGCTCCTTCCTGGACCAGTAACAGGGGTGTTGGTCATACATCGAATGGTCTTGGGGGCTGGCTGGAATGCTGTCAATTTCTTCTCAATGAAGCTGATAGTGACACCAGCAGCACAGGGGACCACAATGTGTCTGTCCTTGATATCAGACCCAATCTCATCCAGGATGAAGAGAATAATGTGAGGTTTGACAGCCAGGAAGAGCACATCACTGTGCTGTACTGTTTCCTTGCTGTGGTGGGTGAGCTTCACACCCATCTTCCTGAGTGCAGAAACTGTAGGCAGGTCCGTATTGGGAGTGCTAGCCATTATCTTGTGGGAAGCCAGGATGCCCGCTGCAGTGAAGCGCCTGGTGAGGGCAAAGGCCAACGGGCTGACCTCAGTGAAGCCCACACTCATAGTCCTGAAGGCTGGAGCAGGCTTGAAGGAGAGCCCTGAGATGCAGCAGCTATGTGAGGTTGGACAGATCATTTCATTCTTCTCATCCTCAAAACCATCTCTGTGTTTATAGAACGGATTTAATCTTGGGAGTGGCCTCCAGAAATCATGATTCTTTTTGGTTCGTATTGCTTCCATACAGAGTTGCTTCTTGGAAATCACAGAATATAGCCCCACAGATGTCCGTAAAATTGATCCCACTCCTTACACAAGTACTCAAAATAACAACGCAAACATTAGGCACATAAGAGCTTACGTTCTACTGATGAGGTCTAGAGGTTTAGGCATGCTAGGACCCTGAGATCATGACACATGGGTCCTGCCCAAAAGAATTTGACCCAAAGCCTTCTTTCAGCCAAAGACAAGGTTTATTAAAGATCCGCCACATTAGCCAGACTCTTAAGGAATCTGAGCACCTGTGAGCTATTGGCTAGATTGTAAAAATCTGAGCAGTGGCTACATTATAACAATCTGAGCTAAACCAATCACTTTTGCATAGCTCTAATTATTAGTAAAATTTTCCTCATATTAAGCCTAAATTTGCCCATTTGTAATAATCTACAATTTGGCATCAAGAAGAAGGCAAGGCAAGGCGAGAAGCACTTATTATGTGTACCAGGAACAAGACAATTCGCTCTTCCACAAGACAGCTCTTCTTATCCCTCTTCACTATCTCTTCTCTAGGCTGTGTCCTTAATTCCTTCAATTAGTCTTCATATGGTGATATCAAGGACTTTCTTCTTATTCTGGATGCCCTCCTTTAGATGCTCTCCA